TTCCTATCTGTAATGAATATGATCGTTCCTTCCTGTTGTGGCCCAGCAGGAGCCGTTGGAGCTGCCACCAGACTCCGACAGCGAGGGGCCCTATGAGTCGGCTCTGGGGGATTTGGAGGACCCTGGACAGGGTTCTGACTCCGAGCAGGGCGCAGAGAAACTGGTTGGCCACCAGGAGGTGCCTGAGCCTTGGACCAGTGGGGAGGAGACAAGGGAGAGGGAGTAGTGAGTTGTTCCTGGATGCATGCCATCGAAGAGCTAATAGGCGTCAGGAACAGTTGTGCAGTTACAGGAGGTAATTGCATTCAGCTGGTGGTCATTAGGCTCCTCTCCAGACTATAAAAAGGCTACTTGTGCACATGCCCCTCTTTGCAGAAGTCAACACAGGATCGAATGTCGGAGAACATTGTATGAGCTTGGCAGGCTGGATTGCTGCCAAGCCTTATCTGTGTTTATTGCTGCCCAAGCTTGTCTGTGCCGGGTTGCTGCCAAGGACCTGTCTATCTGTTAATTAAATGCCGTAACTTATCTCTGGCTCGGAGTGTGTTTTGGTGTGGAACGAGGGGGGTCAGAACAAATTGGTATTGTTATAAAAGAAATAAAGAAATTATAGTGTATTGTTAATTGTAAAAAACATTGAAAGAAATGCTCTCTGTGTCAAAACGTAACCAGGGGTGGGGTTCAAAAATTTTTACTATCAGTTTGGTGGGCATGGCATGTGATTGACTGGGAGTGGCCAACTTGATGTCACTCATGCACACTCAGTCACATGACCCCCTCACCAAGCCATGACCACCAAAACGGTGGTGAGCCATGCCCAGCCTCGCCGGAGCTAAGGGAGTACCTGCAAACTACCCAGTAAGAAAAAAACATTTTTGTCCTCCTTGGCCCCCAGGAACATTCTGCAGGCTTCAGCAGGGCTGAGGGAAGGGAAAAAGACCCCCATTTTTCACCCATTTTTTTCAAAAACGGAGGCATTTTTGCCTTTCCCCAGCCCTGCTGAAGCCTGCACAGTGCTTCTGGAGTCGGGGGGGAAGGCAAAAACACCTCCGTTTTTTTTTTATAAACGGCCCATCTCTGGGACCTCTCTGGGCCTGGCATGCACACACCATTATAAAAAAAGTGGGGGGGGGGATTACATTTTTTCAATGAAGATTGTTCTGCACATGTGCAGAACAGAAAATAAAAATGGTGACGCCCAGGATAGAAACGGTACGGTCATTTGTCCGGCTGAGTTACTACCTATTCAGTCGAACTGGTCCGAAGCGGTAGGAACCCACTTCTGAACGTAACTAGGGGGGAGATATATATATATATCTTATAGTAAAATAGACCAATAGAGAAATATGAAGTGATAATTTGGTGTATTTTTTGAAGATACACTTATTAAGAAAAAACGAGTATTAAAAATGGGAAAAATCTCTCTCTCTGTTTCTCTCTCTGTGTCTCTGTCTCTCTGTGTCTCTCTTTGTGTGTGTCTCTCTGTCTGTCCCTCTGTGTCCCTCTTTCTGTCTGTGTGTCTATGTGTGTGTGTGTCTGTCTGTCTCTCTATCTCTCTCTGTCTCCCTCTCTCTCTCTGTCTCTGCCTCTCACTGTGTGTGTGTCTCTCTCTCTGTGTCTCTCCCTCTCCCTCTCCGTCTCTGTCTCTCCCCTCTCCCTCTGAGCGCTGCTTTTGGCCCCTAAGCCTTGGTGTGATCAGCCTACCCAACGAGATCCCGCATTCCAGAGGGGATGGTCAGGCGGTTGGGTCTCTTCAATTCCTCCAAAGGCTGCCAGCGCTCCATTGGCAGATGTGAGGCATTCAAGAGAAAGACAGAGAAACAATGCCCTTCTGTGCTACTACAAAGGGCGCCTTTGACAAAGATCTCATACGATGTGATATTGCAGGGCCATTTCTGGGCCTCTTCCCGAGTTGCCAAGTTTTCCAGCCCCGGAGCCCAGATTCCAGCCTTCCATCGCTTTGTGCCCTTCAAAATGTACATATGGGAACTGGCTGGAGTTGGGAAAAACCACAGCCTTGGGACAGAAAAGGAGAGTGCTCAGCTGTCTTGGATCCAAGTGGAGAATCCGAGAGGAACCCCCCCGAGGGCCTGTTCCCTGATGCGATGAGAACTATAGTTTTATCTTTTTAAGATAGCTACATCAACTACGTAGTGAAAGGGCCTGTTTGGGTTCTAAACTGGGCTCTGAATATGAGACAATGACCAATGCAACATTGGGATTTGTGCTGGCCACGAGGCAGCCGAAAGCTTTTGAGGCTGTGGAACAGCCAAGTGCAAGTCGAGTTTAATGAAAAGAAGGACTAGGGGTTGACGCGATAGCAGTAGTCCAATATTTGAGGGGCTGCCCCAAAGAAGAGGGAGTCAAGCTATTCTCCAAAGCACCTCAGGTTAGGACAAGAAGCAACGGATGGAAACTAATCAAGGAGAGAAGCAGCCTAGAACTAAGGAGGAATTTCCTGACAGTGTGGACAATTAACCTGTGAAAGGGCTTGCCTTCAGAAGTTGTGTAGGGGCTTCATCACTGGGATAGACTGGACAGCCGTTGGTCCAGAATGGTATACAGTGCTCATGGACTCGAAGACCCCCAAGATCTCTTTCCATTCTGTCATTCTGTAAGCCATGGATTTTAATGGTGGCTGATAAAACCAATAATAACATTCTGTAAAGGTAAAGGTTCTCCTCGTGAATATGTGCTAGTCGTTCCCGAATCTAGGGGGCGGTGCTCATCCCCATTTCAAAGCCAAAGAGCCAGCGCTGTCCGAAGACGTCTCCGTGGTCATGTAGCCGGCATGACTCAATGCCGAAAGCACACGGAACACTGTTCCCTTTCCACCAAAGGTTGTGCCTATTTTTCTACTTGCATTTTTACCTGCTTTTGAACTGCTAGGTTGGCAGAAGCTGGGACAAATCACGGGAGCTCACTCCGTTACGCTGCGCTAGGGATTCAAATTGCTGAACCACCGACCTTTCTGACTGACAAGCTCAGCGTCTTAGCCACTGAGCCACCTCGTCCCTAACGGCCACATTCTGTACTTCCATATAAACTTCCTTTGGTCAGGAGGAGAGAATGTCGTACTGCAGGCTATGTCTGCTGACTGCCGGCTGCCAGCAGTTCGATTCTCATCAGCTCAGGGTCATCTCAGTCTTCCATCCTTCTATCTATCTATCTATCTATCTATCTATCTATCTATCTATCTATCTATCTATCTATCTATCTATCTATCTATCTGGTTAGAGTGCAGTACTGCAGGCT